CGTATACATAGCCACAACTGGGTTACGCTGGCCGACGTACCTTGAAAGACAATACAGCTCTCGAAAAGGTACGCCTCGAAGTGGTTCGGGGAACAGGTTCACTTTCATGCGGGGAACAATTGTCCATCCTTATGTTAATGGTAAATAAAAAAGATCTCTTAATGAAATTCTATATTAACTAAGGCCCGGATTGTTGCCTAATTTCTGAGCATTTCTTTGAGGTATCCGTAACTCACAAACTACGCAGATTTCCCCATAAACAGCAAGTGGGTGCCTCGCGGCCGAATTCGCGTAAATTCTTCTGCCAAAGAGTCGGTGACGCGTGTCTCATTGTATTTGTAATATGAGCAGAGTGGGAATTCAAATGCTTACCTCTGCTCTTTGCCTCCAACAAACTTTAAAGATTGAAACGTTAACATGTCTCCCTTGTTTTCATAGGCTTGGTTCCCTACAATTTCCTGTCAGTACAAGCGGGCACAATGCTGGCTCAGATGAACTTTGAAGAGTCTTTCAGACAAAACTGCTTCAGCCTAGTCGCTGTAGCCATAGTGATCATCATACCTGGATTGATTATGCCTCGGGTGAATGCAAAATACTCCCCAAAACCCAGTAAGGAGGAGGAAGAGAAAGAGAGGATTGTGGCAAACGGCAGAAGGCGCACCCACCGGAAAAAGAACTAGACGCTTTTTACGTTATTTTGTTTTTATAAAATATATGTATATGTACAAACATAAACTCGACCACCTTAGTACTTTGATTTCCGCAGCAGCCCAGGACGCCAGTTCGTTGGATGTGTTTCCTCCATCTACAAAAATAAAAGAGATGCACGTCACTCGTAGGGCAAATTTGAACGAAAGCGCTGCTAACCCTGTCACATAAGGCTTCGGGGCAAAGACATTCCGAAAAAAAAGAGAATCCCTTTGATCAATTAATGTGAACCTGGCGTAGTTACAATTTCAGGAGAATGGAATGTTCGAAATGAAATAAAATATAGACGGAGGCGGGAGCACTTACCGCAGTCTCGTCCTCCTTAAAGATCTTGATGGTTTTATCCGCTTCTGCGGATACAAGTCGAGAACCACTGCGATCAAAGGCCAGTGCGAAGATGCCTGCCTCGGAGTTGATACTGCCCGGCTGCACCTGAGACTGCATGCGTTGAAAATTGTAGCCTGATTTCCAATCCCAGAAGTGCATACTGCCATTGTCACCTTTAAACAGAAAGAGAAATACATTAGAGGATTATGTCACGACTAATCCCGCACACAGAAGGCGGTTTTGCTGATGCGTCAGGGGAACACGCCCTAGGACGGTAAGTGAAGAGTGGAAATGAAACTTTACTGCTGTACCGGTCTAAATAATGGTTGTACTCGGATCACTACAATCATCAAGCTAAACCCCAGGTTGGAAGTTAAAAGGCAGGAGTGATTTATTGTGTACAGAACTCCCAATCGCTGTCCCAGTTGGTGAAGCCAGGGCTAGTGTTGACTGCGTCCAGCCAGACCTGAGAGAGCATGAGACAGTGGTGGTAGCTGCTTAAGTAGGATTTCGGAGCAGGTTCAAGTGCTCTGTTATTAGTGTGTTGCAATTTGCCAGAAGGGGTGTCGCCTGCAAAGGCTCCCTGCTGCGTTGGCCAAGTGGCGTTGTAAGTAGCCCTTAGGTAGGCGTGCTTATTTGGACGCGTATGTGTACGTGACTGAATAAGCTGGGGTCAACTGTGGGGGCGCCGGAAAGCCACAGGACAGGGGACGCTGGCGCAGTTGTTATCAGTTAGCCAGAAGCAGCTGCGAGGTGCGGGAGCACCAGTGAAAGAAAGCATTGAAACAATTGTTTGTGACGACGCATAACTTTGGGGCAGCGCGCATTGTGGCTGTCCGCCACAGTGCTAAAGATATGAAGACAACCAGAACAATGCATTTTACGAGTAAATGCTGCCCGGGGTGTCGCTCAATGTCCGCTATAGTGTGGAAACAGCTGGAGACCAGATTACGCGAACGTAACACGACCGAAAAGACCTGCTATTTTTTATGGTCGTTTCACTTTGCAACGAAATAACAGCGTCGATTTTTTTCACCAATAATTTGCAAGTGGTCACTGAGCCACTAGCATCTGACTGCGGACAGAGTAAATTACGTTTGTCCCTCGCCAGTCACGGCGAACACCGCTCCGAAGGCGGTGGCACAATGGCGTCTTTTGTAGCAATAGCGACGAAGGAACAAAAGTTGTTTCGGCTGGCAATTGACTAAACTACGATTGCCTGCACATCGGGATTGTCTATAAACGCGTTCGGTTATTGGCCTGTCTGGGTCAATCCGAAGTGATGAGATGCGGCACAGCGTCTAACGCATACAAGGATCGTTGCAAAGAATCGGATGTGATCGCCTAAGGTTTGGATTTCTTCCCGAAACCATCATCAGAAACACTAGTCGAAAGGGGTAGTTCATACAGAGTTGCAGTATCTATGGGATATAGTCGCTATGCTACTGCATACTTATGACAATTAACGGTTTTCCTATGGAGGATAGTTGCCTGTGTGCGCGCTAGTGGCGGCCGGCGTGCGGTCTGTTATCTACCAAACTTTCGTCACCCGTGTTGGACTTGGGCTTCATAATTGCTTGACCATTTGGCTCCCTGGCGCTAGAAGATCTGTTTGCCTGAGCGACGGAATCTAAAACGTCAGACGAATAAAGTTCTTGTTCTAGCGGTCACATCCGCTCCCTGGGACTGGCACTTTCGCTTGTAAGGACTCTTGCATTTGGTTGTCACTCTCCCCTCTCAGGTGGAGTTTCGGCTGCTTACGTGCTCACAAACGCCTACCACAGAGCGTTATGTAACCGACCTCAGAGATGTATCCGTCCTACAAAAAGCCGATCATTGGTACCTGACGACGTCCATCGCGTGCACCACAGTGACGGTAACTCGTGCGTGAATTAGATTACATTGAGAGTAAACTTGCTTTGTACCTACCACACTCTCCCCTAACTGGGCTCGGTATCATG